ATAGTTTTTTGGCGCTCACTGCTTGAATACGAAAAGAATTCTCTCTTAATACATATCGATATTTACTGCTTACGAAAAAAGGCAGCAAAATATAAATTCAATGGTGTGATTTTTAAAAAGAAATCTTTAAGAATCTCATGATAACTGATTGATTTGATTTTCTTTTGGGTATATATCAGAATTAATTTTTTGTCTCTTATTTTCTTCAATACTGAGCATGAAACTAGCAAATATTTTATCACAAAATGCAGAGAAACGCCTTCTTTGTTTGAGTTGTATCCATATTCATGTGTCTTCTCATGTGCAACCAAGTGCAAACCTTAAACAAAGAAATGATACTCTACGGAATGACACGTRGTCTGAAATGGGAAACATTACGCCCAAGCCGAGGAGGTATATTGTTAGTAATTGTTTTCGATAGAAAATGTTTTTTAGAGCGACCTCATTACTATACTAAWTTCAATTTATTGAAAAATCATTTGTTGATATATATTTCAAGAGAAACGTGAACTGTAATTGCAATATTGATTTTGTAGATGCAAAACAAATTACAGATCGGTAATTTTGTGAAGAAATTTGAAAGTGTTTTTCTTAAAGCTCTCATAAGATATTGGTGATGTATTATTTGTTGGCTATATAGGATTGCGTTTTTGGGGTTCTTTAAGAGGTCCTTTATCTTGTTATTTCCGACTGACTATCATAATTAACTCTTCCTGTTGGTCAATTACAATATTTCTCCGCCATTTCAGAAAACCTGAAAGAGTCTCTGTCAAAAAAGTTAGTGAATAAAATAAAGCTGACCAAGAGAAAATGAATTAAGAGAAGGAATCCCCGTGCCCCCTCATGTGCACATTTTGATGCTATTTTAGAATGTATTCTAAAAATATCATCCAATGATATCATTTATTTGATCGTTTGATTTTCTGCACGCGCATAGTACGCGCGCGCTCTACGCTGTTTGCTAACGTTTTCTTGTGCTTTTGTTTTATGTTCAAATCTTCCCTCAAGATGACGATGTAGGTCGAAAGCTTTGGAAAATAAATGTAAAAATGCTCCAGAAAGTTGAACAAATTACTACTTCAATTTCCTGTCGTATTTGCCGAGCTTTCGACGTGCACATTCATATTCAGGCCAGATTCGAAATAACGGAAAAACCCCAAAAACGTAAGCAAACAGCGTAGAGCGCGCGCAGTAAATGCGCGTACAGAAAAACAAATAGTTTTAAAATAGCATCAAACTGTGCACATGATGGTTACAAGGCTATGTAGGGGGGATACCTTCTGTTAGTTTATATTCTCTTGAGCTGACTCCATACCCCAACCGATCAAGTTGACGTCAAAAACACAAGCATTGCTCACATTAGTGCAATATGTTTGATATATAGGTTAAAAATATAATATATCGTGTCGTGATTTTGAAATCTTTATATCAATCGGAGAAAAATACGTATTTTAACTGTTTTAACACAGGCAGTAGACATATAAAAAAATTCCTAAAGGAATCAACAAATACACTAGATAGTAAAATATTCATTTCGACAAGGAATATTCATTTTGATAGATATATCGTGAATGGTAAAATAACGCACTACGCATGCGCACGGCAGTGCAGAAAATTGGTGTTTGACTTGAATTCAAATAACGATTTGATTACGCGCAATAACCACGACAGATCTATTATTAGATCACTAGTCCGTGCGAATCCGGAACAATTCTTCACCGAAAACGAWTTTTTTCGAATACGGTCTCCAGAGAGGAACAATTTGAAAACGCCGGCTAGCCGTATTAGTGTGGACGGATAACATTTCGTATCCGAAATTTTTCGAATACGATGGCGTCATGATTGTCATGGGAACATTACGGGAAGGCTAAGAATTCACCGCGGGCTCAATTTCAGCTTCGGGGCACGTGCTCAGATGTGCAATGAAGCGTTTTTGTCGCCTCTGATCGGACTAGTGTGGACGTGAAACATTTTATTCGTTTTCATGTGTGGACGTAAAACTTTTTCGGTTTCGGTGTGAAAGTTACGGATTCAAATTTATCCGGCATAGTGTGGACGGGGCCTGAATAATTCTAATTTTATTCTAAATTCAAAAGTAACCCATGGTAAGCTCGTGAAGTTTTTTGAGTACCAATGAACTAAAGATGATATCGGAGTTATGTTTTGTGCAAACAAACTGTTGTCTTTATCAATTGAATTATTGGCTTCTTATTGGCTAGAATCCTTTCTTTTCCGATTTCTCGTTACGAAATTTTTCTACGATTGAGATTATCTGGACCAAGTCTAATGGATCCAATATATGACAAACCAGGCTGTTTTCGGATTCTTCTTCCAACGTGATGATAAATACGACAATCTCATATCTCAAGGTCCAATAAAAAGAGCACAAAGTAAACTAAGAATACTCAAAATATGCTGCTGACTATGAAGTGATCGAAAATCCAAAATGGCTTCCACTGCAAACAACATGCGTGGATTCTTCCAGTGACGTCACTTGGCGAATACAATGGATTCCATGGTTACGGGAATTACCCAAAACGATTGGCTGAGAAGCGTTATCCGAAAAATGAGAAATCTAGCCACTCCAATAGCTCTTCACGAGCTAAAAAGAGCTCAGTTGGGGAAAAAATGTCAACTAGTTTCGCATTCCATTTGATTACTTCCACTGAAAATGTATGTTCATTAATTCTCTGAGTCAAGTTGACTTTTATTTTTAGATAATCATGGTTGAGTAGAAACTCGTTAACAATGTCTAGCGACAATATTCTGGTCATTATTGAGTAATTGTGTGTCCCATTCACTACACTTCAGACAAGAGGGTGTTATATAAGTAAAAATGAGATTTAGCAAAGAAAAAATCGATTAATATAAAAACATTTTCATWACGAGTATCTCTAAGCAAACCAGGCTAAGCCAGCATGTTTTCACTATTCTAGCCAATACATTTCTTTTGGTATAAATACRGAATACTTTTCTTTACTTTGCATAGCGAATTGCAGCTCGAGTCATCGCGGTAAATTATAACGACAGTCCTTTAGAAGCCAAAACCAGGCTAAACCAACTTGTTTTACCTATTGTGGTCAATACTGACATCCCATTTTTGTAGAAATACAGAATTCTTTTCATAGCGAGAGTCTCTTAGAAACCAAAACCAGGYTAAGCTAACGTGTTCGGGAAAAAAATTTAATCGCAAAAAAAGTTAAGAGGCAGTCCGCGTAAGGATCGAGCAAAGCTGGAAATGGCCCAAAAATCGCGCTACCTCAAACTTTGCCTGAAGAAAGCCTACAATTAGCCAGTAGTACACAGGTATAATTTATCTTGGAAAAAATTCATTTTTAATTTTTTAGAAGCGAAATTTGAATTTCGCTCTTTAACGGGACGCGAGAGGGTGAAATTAGTGACCTTCAAAATTCGCTCCAAGAAAAACCAAAAGGTCTTTTGTAACCAAACTTTGAACGATTATTTTTTGTGTCTTTTCAGTGAAGTATTAAACTATATATTTTGACTAGATTTATTGGGAGATAATCTTCTCTAAATTAGGCATAGTTTGTTCTTTCATATAGAAGTGCAAAATAGCCGAAGTTCAAACAGTAGTGTTCTCAAGATACTTGGTTTTGGACTGTTTGAAGTCAAATAGCACCAACGGGAGAACTCGATGACGTGCAATCGAAGAACAGAGAATATCGCAAAGTGCATCACCAAAGTGCATCTGTATTTTACTACGAAAAGAGATTTATTAGCTATACAATAGGTAAAACATTGGTTCAGCCTGGTTTTGGCTTCAAAAAGACTTTCGTTATAGTTTACCGCAATGACTCGAGCTGCGAGTATTCAGCATTCACAGGCATTCATCCCAACTAATCTTGCTATCTAGGGATCAAACCACAACTGAACAGAAATCACTTACCCCTTATAAAGATGACACTGAGCCCAAATTTATTGATGAAGATCTCGACCAGCTAACTCCATGAAGGTTGACTGTAAACTGATGCCAATATGAAAAACTAATGTTTATTAAGTGTCAGTTAATCGACGCAAGTATCCGTCAAAAGTGAGGTAGATTTGGTCATGAATTGCTCAAGTAATATCCTGAAAGGACGAGGCAACTTATATTGATTAAAGCTAGATGTTTGAGCGAACAATGTCAGATTCGTTGAGTGACGCACGCGCGAGGTAGCATATACAATGATTTCATCTGCGCGGTACAAACATCCAGATGATCTGAAAAGCCTAAAATAATTCGTTTCAGGAAGATTTACACATAAATAAGCAACAAAAAGCTATTTTCTTCAATTTAATTTTTATAATAAAATTAAGCCTTTCTKTAGAAGAAAGCGCAATCTTTCTTCTTGAGAGCTAAATTCTCGAGAAATTATTGCATCGAAAACCTGACCGGAATTACAGCTTGAGGCTTGCYCTCGCTAGAAAGAAAATAATTGTATTAAAGAGTTCTATAAGTGGAAAATAAAGAAACGAAAGAGAGTCTGTGAACGGTCATTGTTAATAGAATAAGTCAGTACGCAATTGGTATAGTATGTACAGCAAAAATAAAAACAAAAA